CCCTGGAGTGGGGAAACGGCCTGACCGCCGGCCTTTTTTTGTGTGTTTACACATCTGGTGATGCTCAGGGGTTACCCCTGGCTCTGCACTTAGGAATTACTCCTGGCGGTGCTGTGGGGATCTTATGGGATGCTGAGGATCGAACCTGGGTCGGCCACGTGCAAGGCAAACACCCTCCCTGCTGTACTATTGCTCTGACCTGGTTCTTCAATATTTTCAGGAATGAAGATATTGAATAATAAAGATGCTCAGACTCAGAGTTGAAATTTAGAAAAGTTTATTGGAAAGTACAAGAAAAAAGAAAAGGAGCTCCTCAAGTGGGGAGGACCTTGGTATTCATTCATTCATTCATTCATTCATTCATCATCCTGCTATTCGTCCATTGCCTCGAGCAGGCCCCAGTAACGTCTCTTTCATCCTAGCCCTGAGATTATATTCAAGGCTCTTTAGGAGAATGAGACCCATCATTGTTACTGGTATTTGGCATATTTGGTACGCCACACCACGGGGAGTTTGTCAGACTCTGCCCTGTGGGCAGGCTACATTTGATAGCCTGCAAGTTTGTCCAAAGTAGGAATGAGATAATAAGATGTCATAAAAAGATGTCCTGATAAGATGTCCTTGGTATTATAGGACTAAGTTAAAAGGGAGATTTGTGAAGGCTTTTTTTTTTTTTTTGCTTTTTGGGTCACACCCGGCGATGTACAGGGGGTTACTCCTGGCTCTGCACTCAGGAATTGCTCCTGGCGGTAGCTCAGGGAACCATATGGGATGCTGGGAATCGAACTCCGGGTCGGCTGTGTGCAAGGCAAACACCCTACGTGCTGTGCTATCACTCCAGCCCATGAAGGCTATTTTAAGGGTTCCCGGTTGGCAAATGTTTACAAAAGGTGACAGAAAATTACAGTGATGCCTAGCTGGTCTACTTCTCTCTGGGCATTTTCCCCTTATCTTAGTTTCCCTGTTCCTGGACTGCAGGACAGGGGTTTTATGGCCCTGGAAATCTCTCTGAGCCGCCAGCAGAACAATCAAACCTCAGGGCCTAATTGCCTGATGATGAGATGATAACCTGTTTCCTCATCAGCCTAGAGGCCAGGGTTGCTGTTATCATAGTTTTCCGTCAGCCTGGAGTTCAGGGTTGCCCATTATTTTAGCTTCCTGCCAGTCTGGATTCTAGGGCAGAGTTTTCTGTTCTGGGAAACCCGGAAATGCTGAAACAGCACTGGGGTGGAACATGTGTCGGGTTGATGGGGGAGATGGGACATCTGGAGAGAGAAAACTGTGGCTTCCTCCCTCACTGGCAAGGGGGGAAACTTGAAAATATTGAAAAACCTGGAAACCATGAGCACAGACACCCGCCACCACTCCCGCCTCAGCCGAGTCAGTCCCGCGGCTGGGGGGGGTCCATCCCGCCGCTGGGGGGGCATCCATCCTGCGGCTGGGGGGACGTCCATCCTGCAGCTAGGGGGGCATCCATTCTGCGGTTGTGAGGGGGCATCCATCTCGCAGCTGGGGGGGGCATCTGTCCCGCGGCTCGGGGGCTCATTCCGCGGTTGTGGGGTGGGCGTCCATCCCGCGGCTAGGAGGGGTCCATTCCACGGCTGTGGGGGGGCATCCATCTCGCAGCTGGGGGGGGCATCCGTCCCGAGGCTGGGGGGCTCATTCCGCGGTTGTGGGAGGGGGCATCCATCCCGCGGCTGGGGGGGGGGTCCATTCCGCGGTTGTAGGGGGGGGCATCCATTCCGCAGCTGGGGGGCCCGTCCATTCCGCGGCTAGGGGGGTCCCATCCACGGTTGTGGGGGGGGGCGTCCATCCCGTAGCAGGCCGGTGCCCAGAGGCTGCTGTGGAGCCCCCCAAGCATCAGCCTGCCTCATTCCCCCTCCCCCCCAGGTTCCTGCTCAGTAGGGCCCCGGAAGGTGCCCAGAGACGTCAGGCTCAGCACTCCCCTGGCACGTGGTCCACCCTATCCTTCCCAGCACTGCGGATGTGACCCCAAGTCCCACCCAAGATGAGGAAGAAGGACATTGGGTTGGGGAGGAAGGCTTCAGAATTCAGGGAGCAGAATGCTGGGTGTGGGCCGTGGCCTCTAGTCCCAGGTGGCCTGGGGAGGAAATTCCTGGACTTTATGGGCCCGACCTGGACTCTGAGCCTGTTTGCTGGGGACAGGGCGGCTGCCGGGAAATGATAACCATGTACACCCTGTGTCCAGCTGGGCCCGGCCCCTGGACAGTGGCGTTGGGCCCAGGCTGGTCTCAGCAGACCCTCTTGCTCCTGCTCCCGCCAGCCTCTGGGATCTGCTTGGCCGCGGGCCCAGGACTGATGGCCACCCCAGCCGCTCCCCTGCACCCCAAGGCCCACCTCACACACCTCCTTCCCACGGACTCAGGAGAATGCGTGTCCTGGCTGGCCTGCTGGCAGGCTGCGACTGCGCAGCTGAGGCCGTGGGACTGCGGGAAGGTGCTGGTCTTGTATGCGCTGACCCAGGTTCCACCCCGCCATCCCTTCTGGTCCCTGAGCACCACCAAGAGGGATCTCTGAGCACTGAGCTAGGAGTCAGCCCTGAGCACCACCAGATGTGACCCCAAGCAAACCAACAAAACCCTGAATAAATAACCCCCCAGGGTGTTGGTACCCACCCAGACTGTTAGGATGAGCCTGTGGAGATGGACCCGCACGCAGGCAGGAGCACGGGGCCCCATGAAAATGGGCGAGCCGTAACTCGTGTGTCCGGGCTGGTCTGGACAGGGTTAACATCTCTTCCTTTGGCTGCCTTTTAGCTCTTGGTGTTACATAGAAACAATCTTTCCTCTCTCACAGATCCCTCACCCAGCTTGATACAGGCAGGTAGACCAGGTAAAGGGCCCTTGGCAATGAAGCTTAGGTCAACAAACCTGGGAAGGAGGGCTGGAGCAATAGCACTGCGGGTAGGGTGTTTGCCTTGCACGCGGCCAACCCGGGTTTGATTCCCAGCATCCCATATGTTCCCCTGAGCACCACCAGGGGTGATTCCTGGGTGCAGAGCCAGAAGTAGCCCCTGTGCATTGCCAGGTGTGACCCAAAAAAGAAAAAAAAAAACTGGGAAGGAAAATTTTAACTGATCCACTCTGTGCATATGGAAAACAAAGACCTGGTCAGACCTTCTGCAGACCCTTCTGCAGAGGAGGTTGGACCCCTCCCCATGAAGTTCCTCCCCTCAAAAACCCTCGGACCTCTCCTTTATTCGATTAACTTTAGTGATTCAGCCCCTGAAGACCCCAGAACTTCTGGATCAAGACAACCCTTGAAGAGCCTATAAAAGCCACCGTGACCAAAGGAAGGGCGCACATATGCTGCCTGAGCCCATGTGCTGCTCATGCCCACATGCACATGTGTCACCAGCATCTCCCCTCTTTAGATGTGGACTTTCGAGGCTGGAGAGATAGCACAGCAGGTAGGGCATTTGCCTTGCACGCGGCCGACCCGGGTTCAATTCCCAGCATCCCATATGGTCCCCTGAACACCTCCAGGAGTAACTCCTGAGTGCAGAGCCAGGTGTAACCCCTGTGTATTGCCAGGTGTGACCCAAAAAGCAAAAAAAAGAGATGTGAACTTTCATGCTTTCCTGGCTAATGCTGGGGTGTGTGCAGGGGCTCTCTCCGCCCTGGGAGAAGCCCACGTTCTCTCTTGGGCACGCTACTCAGCCTCACTCTCCACTCTCCCATTTTCTCTTCCTCCTTCCCTTCAAAACACCCTCCAAATAAAATCTATTTTTCTTCACTGCTTGTCTACTCCTGAAATTCTTTTCTGCGAGTGACACAAGAACCCAGTAACCCTGCGTCCCGAGTGGCAGAGACAGATTGGGAAAAAGTGACCGTCTTTCTCTTCCCGATTCATGTGAGCCACCCGTGGGGCCCACCGACATTAGGCTGGGCTTCGGGATGCAGAAATTCTCTCTCACCCCCTTATCACTCCAGGTAGGTGCACGGGGCCAGACTGCCGGGCCTCTCTGGAGGCTGCAACCGTTGGACTTGCAGACGTGAACGAACAACGTATGCTTGCTGAAAGTAGACTCTACACCGAACATGACTGCCACTCAATGCCTCTTTTGCAAACCGCAGCACTCCAAAGGAGAGAGAGAGAGAGAACAAAAGGGAATGCCCTGCCGCAGAGGCAGGGTGGGATTTGGGGGATGGGGGTGGGAGGGATACTGGGATTGGTGGTGGTGGAGAATGGGCACTGGTGGAGGGATGGGCACTCGATCATTGTATAACTGAAACCCAAGCACAAAGATTTGTAAGTCTACGAATGGAATGTAGACTTACTGTACCTCATGGTGTTTCACTAATAAAAATTATAAAAAAAATTTTAAAAAAAAGAACAACGTATGCTTGATGTCTGGATGTCCCTCCTGTAACCCCTTTTCCCTGCAATGCCTTCTTTGTGCTGAGTGCACTAGCCGTGTGTCCGTAGGATAGTGAATAAGAGAGGCCATGGGATGCCTCCTGGCTGCCCTACCAGAGCAAGCTAGCAGCCCTCCAACCATTTTAAAAATTCTTCTTGCAGTTCTACCTCTGGCCTCTGACGGAAAGAATATTCACACAACACTGGGGCCTTGCGCTGCCCCCCTCAACAGCAGCCCCGAGTCATTGCTCACTCACCCCCACCCAGCCTGCAAACTCCTCTTCACACTTCAGAACCCCATGCACAATGTCCCTCTGTGGAAATCTTCCTGACATCCCCACCGAGTTTCAGAACTTGTGGCACCCACCAGCCCCTGGCCCCCTGGGAACCCATAGGCCTAGGGATGACCCTGGGGGTGTCCACCCTGGCTTCTTCTGATGCCCTGCAGCCTGGGTGGGGCGGTGGGGGGGGAGTAGAGGGAAGGAAGGTTCCGGGAGCACAAAAAAAAGGTTCTTCCAGGAGTTTTTAGAAAATAAATGTTTACTCAAAGAAGGTTCAAAAGACCAAGGACCTGGGTGGGCATTGGTGGGGAGAAGGGCGAGTCGGGCTGAGAGATGGGTGGGCCCTCTCCCTGGAGTCGGGGGGCAGGGGCGGGGGAGCAGGTGGGGAGCACCAGGCCACAGTGCTGGGGGCGGGGTTGGAGGCTCAGCAGCTCACCAGGTACATGCCTGTGGAGGTAAGTCATGAGGCCGCGGGGACCGGACCCCCACCCCCACACCCCTAGGTAGCACACTGACCAGCAGCCTGGGTGGGGAGCTGAAGGCTGAGCTGCTGTCTGAGGTCTGACCAGGGTGCCCTACAGTGGGCACCCCCAAAACGTCTTCCTTAGGGGATCCTACAACTACCCCCAAGTCCCTCCCAACCCCCCCACTGGTAGTGGGGTGCAGGGGCGCTACCTGTGGCGAACCTCCTCTTCACCAGAGACATGCGGTAGCCGCTGCCCACCAGCTCCAGGTCCACGCCCGAGAGAGTGGCCCCCTCGCTGGTGAACTGGGCAGCCACAGGGCTGGGGGTGCTGGGCCCCGAGCGGGGCTCCCAGCTGGCAGACAGGCGGCCGGAACCTGAGGAGGGGAAGGTCAGTGGGGCGCCCCCTGCGCCCCTGAGGGATGCCCAGGAGTTTGCATTGGTGCCTAAGCCCTGGTCCCCGCCTTGCACAGGCTCACGTCGCCTGTTTCAAGTCGCCCTTACCCCTCTCTGCACTCACCCCCTGCCTCAGACACGTCTGGAAGCTTCCACAGGAGCCTCTTCTCTTCCAGGTTCCTGGCATCAAGACAGCTTGATCAGAACACACCTGGAGCGCTTCTGGGAGCCAGCCCTCCCCCTGCCCCGGGACTCAGTTTCCCCATGTGAAACCAGAGGGAACTCCCCCTTCCCCACTTCTACCATTTTTTTTCCTTTTTGGGTCACACCTGGCGATGCTCAGGGGTTACTCCTGGCTCTGCACTCAGGAATTACTCCTGCCGGTGCTCAGGGGACCGTATGGGATGCTGGGAATCAAACCCGGGTTGGCCGCGTGCAAGGCAAACGTCCTACCCGCTGTGCTATCACTTCAGCCCCATACCACTTTAAGTCTTTTACCAGCTGGATTCTCACAGGCAGGTCCTGAGGGCCAGCAGGGGCTGGTTTCGGAAGCTGGCAGGACCAGCCTAAGCCCCCACCCCAGCCCTACTCCGCAACCCTTGGGGGGGGGGGGGCGCGTGCAGAAGTGCAGACCAGGTCTCTTGCGTGTTGTGGGACTGACCCCATTCAGGGGCTGCATCTAGGCCAAGCCTGCGGGTTGCCGCATCTCGGGGGCCCTCCCACGCCCTCACCAGGTGGCCGCCGGCTGCAGGCGGACATTGGTCACAGGCTCCCCGACGGGCAGTAGGATCTGGACGTTGGTGAGGGGCGTGGGCACGGCAGTGGCCCCCGGCCGGTAGCTGTATTCCACGGAGACCTGGGTGTGGGTCGCCCCGCACTGCCAGTGGGCGCTCAGCTGCAGGGGCACCGACTGGGGTCCCGGGCGCGAGAACTAGGAGGGGGGGCAGGAAGGAGGGCGTGGCTCGGCTCCTGCTGTCCAGCCCGCACGCCGACAAAGCCACAGCCAGCAGGGGGCGCGCGCGAACCCGCCGCCGCCGCCGCCGCCGCCGCCGCCGCCGCCGCGATGGGGGCCTGTGCTACCACCTGTGTCCGGCAGAGGGCAGGCGCGCGCCTCATCCCAACAGCCCGTTATACCTGGCCAGGTGCCCGGGCCAAAGGGCACCTGGGACTGGGCCCTGCTAACGCGCGCAAAGCTCCCATGGACATCGCGGGTCGCCTGGCCCACCTGGTACCGGAGCAGCACGAGATTGTAGTAGGAGGCGGCCGGGTTCTGCTCGGCCTGTCGCAGGAGCGCCTCGGTCAGCGCTGCCATATTGAGCCAGAAGTCTTTGGTCTCCGGGTCACTCTGGGAAGGGTCACTGCGGGGCGCAGGGGGCGTCACCGCTCCGCTCGCGACGACGCATCCCAACGGCCCCGAGGGCTCCCCAGGGATGGAGGTCCCTCCCAGCACAGCTGGACCCCGGAGGTGGGGCACACAGGAGGGCAGGAACGGGAGGGTCAGTGGGAGCCACCTGCGGGGGCCACGCAGTGGATTGGGCTCGCGCCCGTAGCCCACACACCTGAAAAGCAGGTCTGCGTTGGGCTGGAAGTGTTCGATCGGGGCCGCGTGAACCAGGCGGAAGCTGAGCACGGGCGGGGGCGGGGTCCCGCAGAACACACGCACGATGCCCGCAGGGAAGGTCATGGTCAGCTCCCCGGTCACTCGAGCCAGGCAGCTGGGATGGGAGTGAGGGTGCAGGGTGTGGGCTCCAGCCCCCCCTTACTGTCCTCAGCAAAGCCTTGACCACGCCCCCATCCTCCCGCCCCCAGCCAGGATCCGACCACGCCCCCAGCCCTGTCCCTGGGTGGCCGCCCTCAGCAGCCCCGCTGCCCCCAGCCTGTCTACCTCGGACTGTGGCCGCGAAAGTAGGCGTGCACATACTCGGTGAAGGCCGTGGCCACGGGCAGGGCGTCCTGGGAGCCGAGGACCACGGGGCTTGGGCCCCGGGAGATTCCTGGGGATGGGGAAGAGAGTGGGCACGCATGGGGGACCCAGGCTCCAGGGCCGCTCTCCCCACACGGGGGCCAGCCAGAGCAGAGTGGCCCAAGGGTCCCCACCTACCGTGGCCCGGCGGGGCCGGGAAGCTGGGCCTCTCGGTCGCGGCGCTGAGGGCTGTGGGGCCCAGCGCGGAGGGGCTCAGGGAGCGGGTCTGGAAGGGCAGGACAGGGGCTGACAGGTGGTTGCTCCCGGAGCGCCGGGACCCCCCCCCCCAGGCCTCCCCTCCTTACCAGGTCCCCGTTGCTGCGAGTGAGAGGGCAGGACGCCTTGGCCGAGCGCGGCCTCCGGGGAGGGGCGGCCAGGCCCTCCCGGGCGGGGGGTTCTGTGGGCGCCCGCAGGGGCTCTGAGGACAGGTGCAAGGATGCTCACGGCCCCACCAAAGCCAGCACAGCCCTGGGGCTTGCAGCACTGGGGTGGGGGGTAGCAGGGACCTCCCTGTCACCCACCTCTGCCCCTCAGACCCAGGAGGGACCCCAGAGTAGCTGTGTCAGAGTCCCGCCCTCCCCAGCCCCGCCCCGCCCCTGCTGGCGCACTCGGGGTCACAACCTCCCCCAACGGAAGGCACAGCCTGGACCTGTGCCCAGCCCAGCCCCTACTCAGAGCTTCGGACCCCACATTCCACGGGCCTGGATGTCGCATCCTGCCCCCACCCCCAAATCCTCCTAAACTGCCTTCTGTCCCCTCCAGCATTTCAGAGTCTCACCCTGTGGGCCCAAGGCACAGCTCTGGCTTGGCCCTCTGCCCTGTCACCCTCTCCTCTCGCCGGCACCTCACCCCTGCGCCTGCTGCCTCTTGGCCCTCACCCACCCTCCCCAGGGCCTCGGAGGCCAGGGTACTGGGCTCACCTCCTCCAGCCCCGGCCTCCAGCCCCCAGTAGCCTGTGAGGGGCTGCGGCGAGTCTGACGGTGGCGGCGGGGGTCGCGGCACCCTGGCCTCGGGGGGCAGCACCCTACAGGTAGGTGGGCTCTGTGGGGTGCCGGGGCGCGGGACCCAGGAGTCCGGGGAGGGGCCGGGCGCCACGCGCGACGGGGAGTCCAGGCCCGAGTCCTCCACGTTCTCGGGTGAGGAGGAAGAGAAAGGCGAGGGGCTGGAGGTGAAGCCCAGGCTGCTGGAGCCTGGGGGAAACCGAGTCAGGGGGAGCCGCTCCAGGCCCCGCCCACCACGCAGCCCCGCCCATCTCTTCCGGGCCGCAGCTCTGCCCCACCCCCACAGGTTCCTCTCGGGTCACCTGTGAAGTCTTCCTGGTCAAAGGCGGACTCCAGGGGCGGCCCGAACAGGCTCTTGGAAGCCGGCTCCTCGGAGTGCAGCTTCTCCGGACCGCTGGGACCGGGCAGACAGATGAGCCGCTGTTCCCAGCGCAGCCTCGCGGGGCCGACCCCCACCCTCTCAACACCCAACTGCCTGCCCCCAGGAGGCCCCGCCCCGCGCCCTCTCTGCAGCGGCCCTAGCCTGAGCCCTGAGCTGCAGAGTAGTGTGATGAGGGGGCCCTGCCTTGCCTGCGGATCCCAGAGCCCAGAGGAACACGGGCACACAGCAGGCGGCCAATGTGTGCTTATCCCTCACCGGTGCAGGCTCTCAACTCCCTGCCAGGCGAGGGAAGGGGAAGCCGCAGGGCAGGAGGTGGGTGGGTCTGCCCCCACCGGCCCACTCGGGCAGCCCGACGTGCCCTGCTATCACCCACCTGCCAGTCCTCGGGGCAGAGCGAGGCCTCTGTGGCTTTGCAGTGGTGTCTCCTGTGGGAGAAACAGAGAGACCTCACACAGTGCGCTCGGCCCTAACTAGCACACTCCTATGCATCAGCTAAACCCTGACGCTGGTGTCCTTCCCGGCTGCCCCTCAAATAGCAGCCCTGAGTAGAGGACTCACGTGACGGATGGCGCTTCATGGTGCCCTACAAAGAAAGAAGGGTGGGCTTCAAGACGTGGCCTGCTGGCCCGAGCTCTGACTGCCCCAGCAGCCCTGGCCAGCATCCAGAAGCTGCGCCCAGTCCTAGGAACTCTGCCCACCAAAATCCGAGCCCTGCTCAGTCCCATCAGCCCCACCCAGCAGCCTGACCCGCCCCCAGAAGCCCGCCCTACCCCAGTAGCCCCGCCCCATCTCAGCAGCCCTGCCCCACCCCTGTAGCCCCGCCCTGTCTCAACAGCCCCGCCCTGCCCCGCAAGCCCGGCCCCATCTCAGCGGCCCTGTCCCACCCCTGTAGCCCCGCCCCATCTCAACAGCCTGCCCTACTCCAGAAGCCCCGCCCACCCCCGTAGCCCCGCCCCGTCTCAACAGCCCGCCCCACCCCGTCTCAGCAGCCCCACCCACCCTTGTAGCCCGCCCCATCTCCATAGCCCCGCCCACCTCAGCAGCCCCGCCCACCCCAGCAACCCAGCATTCTGCCGCACCTCTCCCCGTACCCCAACTCACCCCAGGCCCTGGTGGCAGGGTGAGGCTGCCAGCTGTGGCCCGGAGCTGAGCTGCAGCTGCCTCCGAGCTGCAGGTGGGGGGCCGGGCGGGCGCAGGCTTGATGTGCACGTAGAACTTGCGGGGTTCTTCATCGTCAAAGTCAGAGTCGCTGGAGGAGAAGCGGGAGGGCTCGGCCGCACATGCGCCGTAGTCAAGGGGCCAATCCCAGAGCTTTCAGCTCCACCCCAAGCCTATCCCTCCCAAATCCGGCTACACCGCTCCCTCTACACAGCTTCAGTGGCCCTGCACAGTCGTTTGCCACCCTGGACCTGACACAATGTTTTAGCCCTCCCCACTTTCTCCTAAAGCTTAAACCAGGGAAATCTTATCCGCTGCTAAACCCTGAGACTGGTGCCCCCTCCTCCAGGAAGCCCTCCTAAATCCCCCTGTGGGCGATTCATTGTCCTCTGCCCAAACCCCACACAGCCTCGCCATCCCAGTGGGTACAACACAGACAGAGGTTTCCATAGCGGGGCAGATCTCAGTCCTTGCTATGCCCACTGCTGCCTCAGGAGCCGCCAGAAGGATATTGTTCTGGGTTGCCTCGGGCCGGATGGTAAACCCTTCTTCATCCACCTCTGGGCACATCTGTGAACACCGGGTGGCTGAGCTTCTGGTCTCCAGCGGTCATGTGGAAGCTGCCCCCCCCCCCCCACTCCAGAGGCATCAGCCCCCCCCTCCCCTGCTCTCTGATGCAGCAGGTCTCTGGGGACTGGGCCATGCCCCCACCCACGAGGATGCCCAGGGCACACCAGCTCCTCCCACACGGCCCAGGTGGGATTTGAACCTGGCCCTGCCAACCCTCCAGCCCCGTGCTTAGCACTGTGGCTTCTCTCCAGGTTCCAGACCAGGAGTTGAGTCTGAACACCTCCCATACCACCCTGCGGCCCGCCTGGCACTCACCCCTGGGTCAGCATCCAAGGAGCCTCTGGGGGGGGGGGGGAGAAAGAGCTGTTGGGCCCGGCCCGGGGCCTCCCCTGCTCCCCCAGGGCTGGACACTACCCTCGGACCAGGACGCTGGGGCTTGGTTGGGTGTTATCAGGCAGCTCCCCGGGGAGCAAAGGGCAGGGGTCTCCCTGAACAGGCACATCAGGGCAGCTGGGGGGGGGCGGGGGCACTCACGTGGCTACAGGGGGCTCCCGTTCTCGCCGGCTCAAACCCGGCAAGCGAAAGGCCTTGGATCCGCGCAGGCGTTTCATCGCTGAGGACAGAAGTGGGGGGCACGTCTGAGCTGGGGGTGCCGCTTCCCCTCCGGACCTACCGCCCTCGGGCCCACGGTCCAGCCTGGGCATCCAGGTCCAGACGTACTTGCCTTCCTGCAGGGCGGCCGCACTGTAAGCCTCGAAGTCCAGGGGTCCTGAGACAGAGAGGAGATGCTTTCAGGGGTGCGGGGAGGGGGGAGCGGGTGCCATCGTCACCCCAGGCTGGGACGGGAGCCTGAGTCTTCGCATTGGGCTCGCCTGGGTGATTGGGATGAGCAGCTGGGGTTCCATGGGGGCCACGGGGGTGGGGGGAGCAGAAGGCCCAGTGTGGGGCCGCATGGGAGGGGCAGCAGCCACCTGGGAGACGGGATGCACTTGGGGACGAAGGCCCCGCACTGACAAGGCGCCACCGTGTGTCTCAGACGCTCTGGGTTCGCATCCCACTTGTCCGGAGGAGGACCGACAAGGCTCAGAGCAGGGGAAAGACGCGCTCCCAGCTCTGCTTCCCGAATCAGCCCCGCTCAGGAGCTGCCCGACCGCCAGGGCGCAGGAGGGAGGAGCCGCGCAGACCCACCCGGCTTCTCCCGGCCGGTGCCCCTGCTCTCGGCAAAGCTCCGCAGCAGCATCTCCACGCTCACGTTCTCGATGTTCTGCTTGAACTCCTCGTGCACCTGGGCCGGGCGGCGGGCGGGCAGGTGAGCGCCGGCGGCCGGCCGGGGCTGCCCGTCTCCTCCCTGGCCTCCGCCCAGCTCACCTGCCCAATCTGCACGTGGGTGTCCTCCACGGAGTGGGCGTAGGAGCCCAGCAGCGCCTTCATGTGGCGCAGGTGCGCCTCTTCCATGGCTTGGAAGCGCTGCAGAGGTGAGGAAAGGGGCGGGAGGCTGTGACTGAGGCTGGCCAATAGGAATGCGCCGAGCGGCTGACCTCAGTGACAGGCTGGGGCAAGAGCCAATGAAAAGCTGGGGCTGGAGCGATCGCATAGCGGGTTGGATTGTTTGCCTTGCACACTGCCAACCCGGGTTCGATCACCTGCACCCCCAGCAGCTCCTGGAATAATTCCTGAGAGCAGAACCAGGAGTAAGCCCTGAGCATCGCCAGATGTGACCCAAAAAGCAAAAACAAACAAACAAACAAACAAAAACCAGCCAATTAAAAACCTTCCTGGTACCTCAAAGGCAGAGTTTTTTTTTTTTTTCTTTTTGGGCTACACCCGGCAATGCTCAGGGATCACTCCTGGCTCATGCACTCAGGAATAATTCCTGGCGGTGCTGGGGGGACCATATGGGATGCTGGGATTCGAACCTGGGTCAGCCATGTGCAAGGCAAACGCCCTCCCCACTGTGCTATCACTCCAGCCCCAAAGGCTGAGTTCTGATTTGTCCAGGAGTCCTGGCTCTGATGCGCTACACCACAGGACTCCTGAGCACTGTCTGGGCGCTGGTGGCCAACATACACATACACCACATGTGAGGGAAGCAGCAGATGAGGGGAAAAAAAGACGAGGCACAGAGAAGCACAACTTCTGCCGGACACCTGGACCCTGCCAGGCCTGCAGCCCTCTGGAAAGGCTCAGTTTCTTCCGCCTATAAAGCTGTCAGTTGATGAAATTTTCTATTCATTGTTTGCTTTTGGGTGCCATCAGGTGGCACTCAGATTACTACTGGCGGGCTTAGGGGACAAAATGGGGTGCTGGGAATTGAACTTGGGACAGCCTCATGCAAAGCAAGTGCCCTCCCAGCTGAACTGAACTCTGCCCCCTAAAATTTGTCTTTTCTATCACTTGGACCATCCCAGCACTGCACAGTGAGAAAAAGAACCTGCTTCCTGGTCCTAAGATTCCAGTCTGCTTTTGTTCTTGCTGGTAGACATCCAGAGGTTTATGAAGGGGGATCTGGCTGGAAAAATACTCCCCAGGAGCACTGCGGCTCTGGGCCAGGCACCCCCTCTGCTCCCACTTTCCTCACAACAGCACAAGCCATTGCTTCTAAGCCCCCGGGAGTGAGAGTCTGGAAGGTTCTGGACCCAGTGGCCCCAGTCTCACCAGTGCTGAGTCCAACATCTTCTGTTCAAAGTCAGCCCGCGCCGAGTTGTACTTCTCCACCGAGCGCCGCAGGCTCTCTGCTGCCTTCTTGGTCTTGGTTTCTGCCTGGGAGGACGGAAGGGGCAGGCTGGAGAGGGGGGTGTGCCCTGAGTGTCACCCACCGGCAGGTGGCCTCCTGGGGGGCCGGGGGCATCCCTCCCACAGCCGGACACACCTTGTCCATCTCCTTCTGGCTGGCACTCTCCCTGCGCACACGCTCCTGGTCCATGCATCGATTCAGGTAGTTCTCGCGGGACTTGGGCAGCAGCTGGCTGACCCCGGTGAGCACCTGCACAGCGTCCAGGGTGACCACCGCCTCCTCCTTGCACTGTGTACAGGGAACAAACATCTCTGACTGTCCTACACCCCCAGTGCCGAGTGCCGCGCCTTCTAGGACGGAGGGGTGAGCTTCTCACTTGGCTAATTATCACCGTACTCAGGGAAGACCCTCATACTTGCTCCCTCCCTCTCCCTCCCCCAATCTCGCTCCCCTCTTTCCCTCTTTCTCTCTCTCCATCTCTCTCCCTCTCTGTCTCTCTCTCCTCCTCCCTCTCTCTTTCCCTCTCTCTTCTCTCTCTCCCCTCTCCTCCTCTCAGTTTGTTTTGGGGCCACGCCCGGCGGTGCTCAGGGGACCCCACTAGAGATGCTGAGGATCCGTTGAGGGGTCAGCCGTGTGCAAGGCGAGCGCCCTCCCCGCGATGCACCGGTGTTACTCCTGGCTTTGCACTCAGGAATCACTCCTGGAGGTGCTCAGGGGACCCTATGGCATGCTGGGAATCAAACCTGGGTCGGTCTCGTGCAAGGCAAATGCCCTCCCCGCTGTGCTATCGCTCCAGCCCCACCAACCTGGTAGCTTTAAATCTCTGAATTAATCTCTGGGTGTCACATGCGGAAACTTTTCCCTGTTGCCTCACCCCCGCGGTCTGAGAAGGGAAGCGTGGGCCGAGGTGAGCTTTACATTCCTGAGTCCACGCATCGGCCTCTGGGAGACCAGGACTTCAGGCTGCCGTGGCCCTTGCACAGGGGGCGGTGTCGGGCGTGCGTCACCCACCTTCTTGTGGGCCCTGAGCTGCTCCTCCCCATAGCGCAGCACGTCCTTGATGAGGTCCTGCAGCTTGCGTGTCAGCTCCAGGTGACAGAGCGCCAGCTTGTCCGAGGACACTCGGAAGGCTTCCCAGAGCGGGGCAAAGGTCCTGGGGACAGCAGGGTCACACATGGCCCAGCAGCCTGACGGCCGGTGACCTGCCCTGCTGCCTGTGGCCACTCTGAACTCAGTTAAGCCCACTGAGCCTTTCTCAGGCAGGCCTATGATGATGGGGAAACTGAGGCCCTGGAGACTGAACAACACAGTCCCTCGCTCTGATGGGAAAGGGAGCCGGGACTCAGTGAAGCTGGGGGCTGTTTCCCCTCAGCAGAGACCCCCTGTGTCCCCCCATTCTGCCCCACCAACCCCAGCCGAACCTCGGCACGTCCACTCCCAAGTGCCCGGGTCAACCCTCTGTCGGCCCACCTTGGCCACACCAGCTCTGGCTCACCCTGGAATGACCCCAAGGCACTGCAGCTCGGCCGGCAGCCTGTCCCCCAGACACCCACGGACAGCACCTGGCTCAGTCCGCTTTCACTCCCTCCCGAGGCCCTGCTTCCGGGCGGGACTTGGTGTAGGGTGAGCTGTGTGTGTCACACTCTCTGGGGGACAGCGGGAAGGGCTGGTCTGTCTAGGGTGCTCACAGAAGTTCCTGCCACACAACAGCTGCTCAGGGAAGGGTCTGATGAATGCATGAATGAATTAATGATTCTCACGCTCGGATCCAAGTAGCCCAACCATTGGAAGAACCTTTCTGTGAAAGACCCGGGAGGGGACACTGTCCACAGAATCCCCAGCCTCCCCCCGTGCCCATTCACCCTGTGGGGTCCCAGTCAGGCACACTTACCCCATGGGGGTCCCATTGCTGGCCAGCTTAGAAAGTTTTGCCATGGCCTTGGAATAAGTCTCTTCGATGGTAGCCCTGGGTGAGAGACAGCAAGTTAGGGCCTCACTTTCCCCAAGTGAAACATCTGAGAGGGGGGCTGTGCATGAAGGCAGTGAGGAGAGGGGCTGCAGCCCGGGGTGCCATGGGAAACTGTCTTCTGGGCACAGCTATGGGGTGCCCCCAGGCTGCAGGGAAGGTAGGCTCCTGGGCCTTCCCTTCAGGACTCAGAAGCAGGGACTGGTACTCACAGCAGCTGGAGAGCAGTACCCTGCCCACCTAGGCTCCTGGTCCAGACCCCAGCAGGGCACTGGGTGGACAGGAAGGACACCTGCGGTCCCCCAGGAATGTGGGTTCTGAGCGGGGTGGCTGTGAGTGGGAGGGGGAGCCAGGCAGCAGAGCAGGTTTTGGGTGAGGCAGCTGGGGTGTGGGGTTGGCCAGAGCAGGGCGCTCACCTTTCCCGAATGAAGTCAGCCAGCTCCTTGGTGGAGACGGGCCCCTGCTTCACGCTGTGGTACAGGACATCGAAGCCGTGGTTTTTCTCGCCCTGCAGGAGGATGTGGGTGAGGATGGCGAGGAGTTGCCTAGCAACGGGTCTGGACCACTGGCATAAGTCCCGTCCCCTGACTGGCAGGGATAGGTCTGGCCTGAGCCAATCCGAGGCTGACATTTCCGGGTGGCCACAGGGACTGATGTCTGGAGTTCAAGTTGGTCCAACCAGATGGAAGTGAGTGTGTGTGTGTGTGGGGGGGAAGGGGTTGTCTTAGAAGCGGAGAGATTTTTCTCTTTCACTCGTTCCTTATCTTTTCTCCCTCTTTCTTCCCCTTCTCTGGTTCCTGACTTCCTCTATCTCACTCCCATTTTTCTGTCTGCATCTTTATGAAACAAGAAACTATGTGCTCCTGAGGATATCTGAAGCCAAGGGGAATCTATAAACTTTTTAAAAGTTGAATCTGGAGGACTCAAAGTTTACAAGTGTGTCAAGCTACATGGATGGATCACACCATTCCTGCAAGTCGTTTCACTCCACCATTTCCCACCATTACTTTTAAGTTAACATAGCCCCTGTTATTTAAGTACAAAAATTGTGTATCTGCTCTCCACATGGAGACCCCCAACCATCTAGGCTACCCCAGAGTGTACTGTCACAGTTTTCTCAGAGACCAGTGACCTTCTTTGTAGTTCTGGGTTACCATGTACAGGGATGCTGGGCAGTGTCAGGTCAGTCACTGCCCCTCTCTGAGCCTTCTGTGACTACAGGAGCCAGTCCTTGAGGCCTCAGGATGGCTCAGACCAAAGTCTCTCCAGGTTCCCCAATCTTTGCTAACCTGTGCAACTCATGAAAATTTTCAAGACAGTTCGTGTCTGTTTTCTTCTCCAAAATCATTTTTCGAAAAGCACAACTTTGACCAAGTTTCGAACTGGACCACTGAGAGCTGCCGTCACCCCCATGGGAAGGGAGGGGCGGTGTCTGGGGCTCTCTCGGGGAGCTGGACCCTGTTCGGGCCGGGAGCCTGTCTGAGCCTGGACCGCCCCTTACAGGGACCCTCGGCACCAGACAGGGCTGTGTGATGAGTCCGGGGGGCTCAGAGAGCCAAGTTTCACTCAGCCCCGGCACTGTCCCCCAAACCATTCTTCAGCAGTCCTTTCTGAATAGTGGGTTCACCTTCCCCATGCGGCTGCTGAGACATAGGCCAGAAGCTGTGCCAGATGGTCCTTGCGACACAGTGAAACAGAGGCCAGCTGGGGGTGAACCCTGAAGCCCACGGGGGCTCTGGGGCCCCCGTGTCTCATTCCCTCCAGATCGTCAGTGACCCCTTGCCACCCACCAGCTCAGGTACAGCTTAGCCTGGACCTCCCCAAGCAGCCTTACCCCCAACTGCCTCGTGGCTTCGCTGGTGCCCCTTTGCTTTGGTGTCCATTATCTTGTTTGTTCTGCCCCTAGCTCACCAGCCCACACCTCCTCCCCGCTCCGGAAGGGCCCCCTCCTAAGGACCCCAGCCCCCGGCCAGCTCCTCAGAACACGGCCCCTCTATTTCCAGAGCTCCCACACGAGGGCGCCATCGGGCTCTGCGTCTCTGGGAAATGGGCTTCCAAGGTCCTGGCAAGGGAGGCGGGTCCAGCCAAGACTCCACTGCCCCGAGCCCCGCCTGCCCACCCAGGAGATCCCAGGGCAGGCTGCACCAGGCACCGCGGGGGACGTGCCGCCAGTCTGGCCAGCTTCCCAGACCTGGCACTGTGGGCATCACAGAGGCTGAGGGCAGGTGGCTGAGGGTCCCGGGATGGCTGTACTGGCCCTGTCTCCTCCCAGGCCCCCAGCTGCACCTGGCGCCAAAGGAACTTCTGACATAACCCGGGCGCCTCCCACTCCTGCTCCCGGCGCCCCCAGGGGTGGTCCCTGCCGCTGTAGGTCTGGCTCCATCTCCCAGGAGGGCCCAGCGTCCCCTAGCACAGAGCCGGGCAGCCACATAAGGGATGAAAGGAAGTGGGACTCCCCGTCACTGGGAAGATGGAACTTTGCTGCCCCAGTTTCAGCACACAGAGAAACTGAGGACTGGAGAGGCGTGTGGGAGGCCTCCGCCCTTCCCTGCTCTCCTGCGGCTGGCTTTGGGGGCGGGGCAGGTGGGGTGGTTTCTATTTTCTCTTTGCTGATCTGGATTTTCTGCACCCAGCCTGCATGCCTCGTGCAATTAAAAAGCATTTTACATAAATGTCGGTGCCTTGTGCCATTAAAAGAAATTTTAAATCTATGTAGGTGCGGGCTGTCAGCGTTCCAGAACGTGGGCGGGCGGGCGGATGCTTAAAGCGGCACGTCGGCCCCCGCCGCGTGGGTTCCCACAGCGCTTGGAGGAACGGCCACTCGCTGGGGCTGCAAAGCCGCCCAGGAAGGCCCGTCTGGGGAATTGGACCCCTGGGAGGACATGATGTGAAGCCCACCGCCCTACCCCCCACGCCCAGGGTGAGGCAAGGGGTGCGGCCCCTTTAAGAAAGCAAGAGCCAGTAAGAGGAACCCCAGCTGGGGAGGTACCGGCTTGTTGCCAGGGGCAACCAGTTGCCTAGCAACAGAAAGCTCTGGGCCTGCAAAGTGAGGGGAAGGGGCTTTCTCCCCATTCTGCCGGCATGAAGGAAGGGGTCCTTGTGCCTTCGAGCACATTCTCCTCAGCTCCTGGGCACTCTGCGCTCATGCTGCCCCAGGAATATCCTCGGCCTCCACTGCCCACAGAACAGACAGCAGAGGGCTCAGCTGTTCTGGACCCTCAGCCTGGGACGCCTCTGCAGCAGGGTATGGTGAAGTATCTCTGAGACCTCAGCATCTCTCAGCGTGGACTGGGGGGAGGGCGTGTGTGATCACAGCGAACAGAGAATAAAAGAAGGAAAAGGTGAACGAATGAATGGGTGAGTACATGAATGAATGGATAAACAGGTGAATGAATGAATGAACGAATAGGTGAATGAGTGAATGGGTGAGTGAGTAGATTACTGAGTGATTGAAATGAGTGAATAAAAACTGAGTAAGTAAATGGATGAATGATGAATGAATGAATGAGTGCATGAATGAATGAGTGGGTGGATGAGTGAATGAATGGGTGAATGAGTGACAGTGAATAAATGAATGAGTGAATAAATGAGCAGGTGAGTGAGTGAATGGATGAATGAGCAAGTAGATGAAATAGTGAATGAGTGAAAGAGTGAGTGGGTGAACAGAGGAATGAGTGAAGATGGTCTCACAACCCCCAGGGTCCTAGGCCGCTGTGGCCAGCCCAGGTGCAGGGTGCGGGGCCGGAAACCCGCGCTGTCAGGGATGGGAGGACAGGTGCCGCGTGGAGGTGGTGGTGGGCCCTGGTTGCTCAGCCCCAGGCAAAGGCTCCAGCTCTGAGACTCAGTTTCCCGTTTTCTAGCTTCACCCCCATGCAGTGGCCCACAAGGGAGGCGGGTGCAGCCCAAGCCTCCCAGCTTTCCACTTCATTTCAGGCTCCACTTCTACAGACGTCCACTGGCTGCCAGGACCCCGGCACCTGCAGAAAAGGACCCCCAAGCCTTTCACTTTCACTTACCCAAAAGTACTCCCCAAAGTACGACATGCTGGTGGCCTGGCAGCACCCACCGGTTCCTCTCTCAGGCCTGTGTGGAGACAAGGGCAGATGGGAGCTGAGGAGGGGAAGCTGCGGGGCCCGGCGCACACCAGGGGCTGCTGGGAAGGTTCACTCCCAAGCCGGCCCCCCAGAGCCCCCCCAGGGACGCACATCCCCAGTCCGAAAGAGTCGGAGCTACACTAGATAATGGGATACGAGACCCAAAGGGCCTGGATGATGTGAAGGAGCACAGGAGGTGGGGTTTTTAAGCATGAATAGGAGTTCACTGTTACTCCGCGGCTCGGTGGAAGAGGCGAGCCCGTGTGGAAAGTTCTGGCCATCTCACAGATGCGAAGTTGAGTATCCTGCCCCTTGGGTAAGCCACTTACTAGGAGCACGGCCGGGAGGTGAGTGGATGATGAGATCCTGGGCCAGCTGAGTGGATGCAAGCGCTCAGCCCCACGCTGGACAGCTTCTGCAGGAAAAGGGTCCAGTGAGCAGTGGACACTGGGAGTGATGACCAGCCCTAGGAGTTGGGGCTCCAGGGGTCCCAACCCCGCCCCCAGAAGCCAGTGCTCACCTGGTTTCTGAGTCACTGTCCAGAGCTGAGCCTCAGTTTCCCCATCTGTAAAATAAGAGGAATGCCTGAAACGGGGAGGGGGGAGGTCCAGCTTGGGAACTCCAGGGCTCCCTGCAGTGGGGCCGGGCCGGGCCACGGGGAGGGCAGGACACCCGCGCCCTTGGCACATCCTTCTTCAGCCTGCTGGTCACTGGAGCCTGCAGGCTCATCCATTATTCATGCCTGCGGGCAGGCGGGCAGCTGGGAGCCTGGAGACGCAGTGCAGCAGGCCAGTGTGGGCGATCACGGGACGGGATGCCTGAAACCTCGACAGGACAGAGCCCAGCAGGCAGCCTCAGTTTCCTTAATTCCCACAGTGAGTTGCAGCGGGACCAGCCTCTGAACCTTGGTGGGTATCGGGCACCCCCGCTCTCACTCTGCAGTCACCAATATTTTGTTTTGTTTTTTGGGGGCCACACCCAGCCATGCTCCGGGCTAATTCCTGACTCTGTGCTCAGGGATTCCCCTGGCAGGGCTTGGGGGACCCTATGGGGTGCCGGGGACTAACCCTGGGTTGGCTGCGTGCAAGGCCAATGCCTGCCCCACCGTCCTGTTGCTCCGGCCTCCTGTGTGCTCACTCTGGTCAAAACAATGACAGATGTCACACCCCACCTCCCTTTTCCCGGAAGAGCTCTCGAGCATCCCAGGGTCTAACCAAGCCGGACACAGACACACACCTCCAGTCCCGCAGGGTCAGACACAGACCACGTGGAGGAAACAGGGTCGGGAGGGCCCCTGTGGGGGGCGGGGTGCAGGAATATAGGGTTTTCAAGCATGAATACTTTCCAGGTACCAACATGGCCCAGTGCCGGGCAGTGCTGAGACCACTGGCCCTGACAGCCCTCGGGGCAGTGGCCCTGACACCCTCACGCCCCATCTGGCTACGCCCCGGACCCAGAGACTCTCTAACCCCCTCAGTGCTCCGGACACCAGAGGGCAAGTCCATCCCAATGTCAGTGAGCACCCGGGAGCCATCCTGGACAGCTAGACAGCACAGGGGGTAGCAGTTGGTCGGAGCTGTCATGTGGACATATCCTCGGGCGCCCACGCTGGCCAGAAAGCAGGGCTTGGGGCTAAGATTACAGACTGGGAGACCGAGGACCAGGGAGGGTCTGTCCGGCTTGCCCCTGGGTCACCCCGTCCTGTCATTGGCTCCACACCCCAACTGCCAAAGAAAGAAGGAAGGGGTGCAGAGAGAAGGGCCCTCAGCCACCATGCAGGCCACAGCCTGGCTCACACCTGCAGCTCTTCCTAAACCAGCAAGGCGGACTGGGGTATGCCGTCCCAGGGGGGCCACGACTCACCAGAAAGAGGGGCTGGGGCCCCTTGGCCAGGCAGTGGGTGTCAGGAACCCGCCACATGCACCCCTCCATTTCCGGTGGCGCCAGGCGGAGCCCCAGAGAGGGGGCCGGAAGCTGAGCCTGCCCCGCCCACCCCAACCGCCACCGCCTCCTCCCTGGCCCACAGCACCCCCACCCCCACCACGCAGCGCCCAGGGGACCCGGCCCCACAGGAACCACAGTCGGGGGGAGGGCGGCAGGTCAGGCCAAGTCCCACGGCCACCCCTTCTCAGTGACCGGAAGCCATCTGGAGGAACCGGGGTCCGGGCCAGCGTCCCCACCTGGATAGTTGAAGGTCCCAGGATCCAGCTAAGTTTCTCAGGGCAAAGACCGGAAAATTCCATCTCACATATTCAAATGTCTCCCCACTATGTTTCTTTAGCTTCTGACTCTACAAGGGAGTCCACACATCTTCATGGGCCCTAAAAGCCTCATGCATGACTGTCGGGGTCATAGCCTCTGACCGGGAGGCCCTGGGGGACCAGCCAGAGGGGAACGAATGCCGCTGCTCACCCCTACTTCAGTGCCAGAATTGAGGAGCCTTCAGGGCACGGGCCCCCACTGCTGGGGCCCAGAGAAGCAGCGCATAAGGCTGGGGCAGCACAGCGGGGAGTGACTCCCTCCCTGGCGACCACAGTCCACCTCTGAGCTTCTGGGAGTCCCTCAGGGTCCTGACCATCAGGCATTCAGCTCTGCAGACCCCAGCTGTGCCCCGGCTATGACGGTGTGGGTTTACGTCCATTTCTCTTCACCGGTCCTGGAGTCCCAGGGCTCAGGGGCCAGCTTGGCCCTGGGCTGTCCAGACCCCTTTTGGCCTTCAGCACAGTGGGGAAATTGTGGCCCAGTCCTGGCGCTGCAGAGATAGCATCCTCCCCACCCCGGGGTCTCGTGCCCGAACCCTCTGATGGCCCAGGGGCTCCCCAGTCCCCACGCACCCCTCTGGGTAAGCTGTGACCCCATTTATGACAGCGAATAGTCATTAGCCCCATAAAGACGGCGTCTGCATTTCCAGCCCACCTGGCCTCCCACGGTCTCCTCTGATCTCCCAGGAGGCCCTAATGGTCACCATCTGTGGGTCATCATCGGGAGCTCCTGGAGGTGAGGGGCTGGGGGCAAGCTGCCCTGGACCCCTGGACAGCTGGAGCAACCAGGCCTGGGGCTGGGCCCGGCTGGGCTTGCCCCGTGCTCCAGCCCCAGCCGGGCCCAGGAACCAGCCTGCCCCCGGCGTGGGTGATGGTATGTGGGTCAGGGCAGGGCGCACCCCCGCCTCGCCTCTGAACACCCCTGATCCACTAACAGGTTCTACCATCTGCCCCTGCCGGCAACGCCCCTGCCTGGGGTGCCCATCAACTCACTTCCGAAGGATGTAAACCAAGACTCAGACCCTGAGTTGTACAGTGTGTCTGCTACAGGAGCGTGAGTGTGGGGCGCCTCCAGTCACCAATCACTCAATCACTCATTCCCAGCTCCAGCTGCCCACCCCCTACCCCGGACGCTCACCCCTGACCCTGGCTGCGTGCCCCCTGACCCTGGCTGCGTGCCCTCAGACTCCAGCCGCACACCCCCGGACTCCGGCCGCGCGCCCCCAGACTCCAGCCACTCATCCCCAGACCCCGGTTGCTCAACCCCATACTCCAGCCGCTCACCCCTAGACTTCAGTCACTCACTCCAGACCCTGGCCGTGCACCCCCAGACTCTGGCCACTTGCCCCAGACCCTGGCCACTCACCCCAGATCCCGGCTGCTCGATCCCACACTCCGGTCACTCGCCCCAGACCCCGGTCACACGCCCCCCAGACCCTGGCCGTGAACCCCTGGACTCCAGTCACTTGCCCCCAGATCCCAGACCCCAGCCACTCACCCCCAGACCTGGCTGCTCATCCCCAATCCTGGCTGCTCACTCCCAGACTCTAGTCACTCAGCCCCAGGCCCCGGCCACGCACCCCCAGACTCTGGCCGCTTGCCCCAGACCCTCGTCGCTCACCCCCCGGACTCCGGCCACTCGTCCCCCGACCCCAGCCGCTCACCCCCAGACCCTGGTCACACACCCCTGGACTCTGGCCACTCGCCCCAGACTCCAGCTGCCGCCCCCATGACCCCCAGGGCCCCTTCGGCCAAACAACAGACTTTCAGACTCTGAAATCTGGTGTGAGACAAGCAAGTGCAGATTTGGGACCATCTAAAACACAGACCGGGGAACCCCCAGCCTCATTTCCAAAGCAGGAAACTGAAGCTCAGGTGTGGGTCATTGCCTGGCCAAGGTCACAGTGTGGCAGGTGGGTTGGAGCCTGGTCCCAGAGGAGGAGGGGATGGGGGTAGATGGAGGGGCGACCCAACCCACCAGCCCCGCACCCCAACTCACAGCTGAGCCTGATTTACCTCAGTTTATTTTAATCCCAGGACAGATGCTCGCTGCCGCCCCCCACAAGCAAGGATCCTCCACACAGCCCACCTCCAGACTCCAGGTCCGTCAGGCCCAGCCTGGCCAGTCCCCACATGGACCCTCCCGAACCCCGACCCTGGGGCACAGCGGCGGCACCAGTGAAACCAGTGCAGGGCCCTTGCCCTTTCCGGTCAAAGGGGCTGGGGGTTGGTCGCACCCCCCCCACGCCCCTCCCAGGCCTAGAAAAAAGGAGCAGGTCCATCTGCCCCGCGGTGCGGATGGGGTGGGGTCTGCAGGCCAGAGCTGGCCAGAGGGACATTGGGGGGTGGATTCGCCCCACCCGGGGCAGGGCTGTGCTCCTGGGTCCCCGACTGGACCAAGCCCCGCGCCAGCACCCCTGGGATCCGCAGCATCCAGGCTTAGAATAAAGGGGCTTGGGGAGGGGGCCTCCGTCGTGGCCACCCCTTTGCGTGCGCCGCGTCCAGGCCACCAGACGCGGGGTCTGGGCTGAGGGCGATGGCTGCGCGGACCCCAAGGCTGCGGCGGGGGAGGGGAGCCCGGGGCGCCCCCGCCCCACCGCGCAGCCCCCCGCGGCCGGCGGAGTGCGGGGCACTCCACGCAGGTGCGGCCCGAGCGACAGCCGGCCGCGGGGGTACAGCCGCCGCGGGGGACAGCCGGCCGCGGGGGACAGCACTCACCTCCCGGCCCGGCCGACCCCGCGCCCGCCGCCACCTGCGGCTCCACCGCGGACACCCGAGCCCGCCCCGCCCTCCCTGCGCGGCTGCGGCGCGGCGGCCGGCCCCGCCCCGGGGCGTGGCTCAGTCTGGCTCCGCCCTCGCGCCGGCTACTCGGGCCGGGGGCGGGCTCTGGGAGTCGTCGCCACCCGCTGATGGGCCACTCAGGCCGCCAGCAACTCCGGCCTAGCGCGCTGATTGGCCGAACCGAAGGTGCGATTTCCTTTCATCTACCTCTCTACCCCTCCGTCCAACACCCGCAGTTAATTTGCATAATTTAAAGCGACAGGCGCCTCTCCTGACACTTGGGCGTCTGAGAGAGGGGGACAT